ATTGTATCAATCCATATTATTCAAAATTTTAATGATCATCGAATAAAAATAAATGCATGACGAATTCGTGATAAATAATTAAACATAAACTTTTCTGTTAATTTCGTTTTATTTTTTAATTAAAATCATTTGTGCAGAAAGTTATGCTAAGAAGTTTATTTGATATGTACAATCTTTTGTTTCCGTACTGTTTTATTTCTTATCATAACTGTAGCAAATTTTATTATTGTTATGATAAAATTTATGTATCTAAAATGAATAAATATAAATCTTAATAATACCTGCAATACTGCTTATAATTCTAGTATTTATGTTCTTATTATAATTCTAATATCATTTCTTATGTTCAAAAGAAGTGATCTGACAGTTTTTTCCACGATAATTAATAAATAAACAGCGATTTCTATATTTTACATTTTCATATATATAAATGTAAATTTATGAATTTATAATAATTATTACACTCATTACTTTTTCTTCTATTTTTTGTATTCCTTCGACTGGAAACAGTAAAGGTAATATAATTTCACAGTACCGAAATTATATTCTTTTTGATTGCAAAAGAAAAATATTCAAATATCTCCATAATTAATTATAATAAATATTAAAAAGTTGAGAAATTTCAGTATTTTTAAAAATAATTACTGAAATTAATTTTAAAATTTATTAGCATCGATTTCATTTATAAAATTTGATGAGATTTTCTATTCATTAATTAGTTTATCTTATCTTTTTCGACAATAAATATAGTTTTAATTAGAAAATTAGAACTTTTTATTATACTCTTTATTATATAATATTTTGTAGTTTTTTGAATGAGAAAAAAACGACACTTTAATATTCATCCATTACGAATTATTGCATTTGTTGAACAATAATTTCCATCTATATTTAAAAAATTTTCATTATTTATTGCTATTGACACTATAGTAATCTTATTATCATTTTGCCAAATTCAGCCAACCGAATTAAATTTTATCAAATAATAATAAATTATAATAATAATAATAATGACAAAAACAATAATAATAATTATTCTTATTATTTAAGTGTCCATTAATATTATGATATGGCTTTTAACTATCATGGAAGAAAAATAAATGCCGTATGACTGATTGATTGTATCATTAAATCAGAAAGCAGAGCGCATTCATTCATTTAATCCTAAAGGAATAAATTGAGTGTAAACAAAAAAAGAAATTTTGTCCTTGAAAACAAACAAATTATTCAGTTTCTCTTCTCTTTATCATTTTAGGATTTAAATATGCGTTTAAAATGGAAAAATCAGCGTTAAAGATAACAGTATTTACAACAGGATGTATATTAGTGATAATAGTATCTGTGATAAACACAAGCCTACTTAGTGTTCATGTATTCGGAACTCATCCTTCAATAAGTGAAACACTGCTCTATGGGCAATATGATAACAGTGAATCAATGAGTACTGAAAGGTTAATTCTTATAAACTATTAATCTATCTAGACGCTATTGTCTAATAGTAATCGTTCGTTATCTTTTGCTCCTACAAATCAAATAATTTAAGTAATGACAATTCTTTTATCTTTTATCATTTAAATTTCTCGCTGATTACTCAATCGAACTTGAAGACTTGATAATTAATCCAGGATTTAAGTAACATATAATAAATTCTACAAATTAAATTGGTCTCATATAAATTTGTAAAGTTGAACTTATTATGGTTTTATTCATAGGTTTCAATGAAATTCAGAAAGAAGACTTTATTTTTAATCTTTTCAGTGCACCTTTAGTGCCTCCATCACCGGCTCGTCGTAGACAACAACGATTACCCCAATGCCTAATCATAGGTGTACGTAAAGGTGGTACAAGAGCATTGCTGAATGCACTTGCGATACAACCTTATATTCGTGTTGCTCGACGAGAGATGCATTTTTTCAACGATAATGAAACATATAACAAAGGATCAGAGTGGTATCGTCGGCAAATGCCGCATACTTATCCTGAGCAGGTTTCTTTCTTTTTTACAAATATTGACAGCAGTATTCGTTTTTTTTCTGTTATCATTTTCAATTCCCAAAAAAGTTCACCGAAAATGCTTCAAAGTTAATTTCAATTTAAGTAATTAAAAGTGATTTTAACTTCAATAAATTGTTTTTGTCATTTTGTTTAGGTGACAATCGAAAAAACACCAGCTTATTTCACAAATCAATATGCACCAGAAAGGATTCATCGCTTAAATAGTTCAATGAAATTGATATTAATATTGAGGGATCCGGTTATTCGTACCATTAGTGATTTCACTCAGGTAATTTTGCTCTTCGATCGAATTAAAAATTACAGAAATTTTCTCTGATTATTTCAATGAAATCCCTCTATTTTCATAATATTTGAACAGAAGTTTCGGTGGGATACATTTATGATATTCCATAAAATTTTTCATCTTCCGAATTAAAAGTAGCTTTTATCCTCAATAAAATTTTCTACCTTTCGAATTAAAATTTTGACTTGGACTTTTGGAATTTTTGTCTCTCAGACAAAATTTTACAAACTTTTATTTTTCTTTAATTTTTACAACAGAACTGCATACACTATGTTTTTGAATTATTTTGGTGCTGCATTTTTGACATTTATGTGTAAAGTATAAGATAAGGAAGATTTATGATCGTTTAAAAAATTGAAGAATAAGTATATAGTAATGAAACGATAATTAATTCAAGAAACTGTAGGATTAAAAGGATATATTTAAAAGAAAAAAACTACGCTTTAGAATTATAAGATAGTTTTGTGTTAAAAAAGGTTTTGAAGCTGTAATAATATGAAGTTTAAAGGATATGATTTGAGATTATACGAAGTTGAGATGGGCAAAAATATGATAAAATAGTAGAAGTGTAAATTAAATTTTCAAAAAAAAATTCAAGGTTATTTGAAATCAGAAGCTGATTCTAAATCAAAGTATTGCTGTGTATGATTGTCACCAAGTTTTCTAAATATATAAGCTATCAGACAAAACTGTAGCAAAAACTTTTCAGGTACTGTATACAAAACATGAGCGTAATAAAACGAAACCATCCTTTGAAGCAGAAGCTTTTCTCAATGATAGTTTTACAATTAATATTAATTATAAACCGGTACGTAATTCATTATACTCACTCCATATGAGTCAATGGTTGAAATATTTCTCGCTAAAAAATTTCCTCATTTTGGACGGCGATAAATTTATTGTGGATCCTTTGCCACAGGCTAGTTTTAATACTTTATTATATTACATTGTTCCAAAATAACATCAAAATATTTGTGTTTCATTTTGCACCTTTAAAATATTCATAGAAAATATGCAAAATATTTTTAGTTCTCAAAAAGATGCAAGTCATTGTCAGAAGTTTAATAATACTTTCTACAGCCAATACTTCCAGTTGCAAAAAGTTGAACGATTTCTGCATATTCCGGAGTCCTTTAAACCGGATCAATTGGTTTTCAATAAACACAAAGGATTTTACTGTTTCCGGCGAAAAGACCGATATACGGCTAAATGCCTCGGGAATACAAAAGGTCGTCCTCATGTAAACATTATGCCAGAAATTCAATTAAAATTGCGTAGGAGTTTTCGCCCATATAATGCGAAATTTATTAAAATTGTAAATCAGTGGTGGGATTGGGAAGAGAAATCGTTTTCATAGTAATATTTTCATTCAACGTATTTTAAAAAAAGGATGAAATTTTTGAAAATTAGACGAAAGTTTTTGAGTGAAAAAAATCGTTTACTTTCTAAAAATTTGTATGATTTTTATACAACAAATTTTCATTTATCAAGAATGATCCAATTGAAATTGCTTCTTAAAAGATCAATTAATTTGCCAATATCAATTGATATTTCAATTCAATTTTGATCATATTTTAATTCATTTCAGTTTTGTTCCTTAATTACTTTCGTTGCCTGATATCACAATGCCTTTCCTAATTTTAATGGTGCTAATTTTTTTTCATATATCAGAAATGATTTAATTTACATTTCAGTACTAATTGAGCTTTATCATAATGCCTTTTAATGCATTTCATTATGATTGTTTTTCTTTGCCTTTGAATTTCAGAAATTGTTTTTTCTTTAGTACTAATTAAATAATTTGAGTATTCAACATTTCACTTCTATGAATGATATTGCTAAACAAGAATTTCATTTTTAAATTACAAACTAATGTTTATGAGCTGAAAGGTGAAGGTTGAGGCGAAATTTGTAGCGAAAAATGGATTAAATTAGAAAATCGAGCTAATTAAACATCAAAAATCGATAAACCGATTTTTCGTCTTTCAAATATTTGCAATATGAAGAATAAGCGTTTTTTGAAATAAAATATGGTGTATTATTCATAATAAATTATTTAAGTAAAATGTTTATTTATAATTCTTCATCTTAATTATGTTAAAACAATTTAGTAGTAGCAGTGATTAAAGATTGATTTATTTTAAAAGATCATCACCGCACTCCCGGAGAATTATGATTATTACTTACTGTGTAGGAAGTAGGAACAATTAGACAGTGTCAAATATACGAGTGAGTAGTAAATGAGTATTTAAACCAGATTTCTGCAAGTATTGCGCGGATAGAACTAATTACTTCGTAATGAACTCTTTTCAGAGTGCAATGCATGGCGTTCTTTTCTGCTATCACCAAAAAGTAAACTATGTTGAGTTGACATGACGATTTTGGCCTTCGTTTCGGTTTATGATAAAATATTTGTGTAATTATATAATCGTTTAATTTAATATTTAAAATATTTCCTCAGGAATGAAATGGCAATTATTTGTTGCTTATGAAATATCATACAACAGATAATTATCTTGGTGATCACTTGACTATTAATTTACATTTAAGGTTTTGCATTTCTTTCATTTCAGAGGTTACTTATAATACAGCCTTTCAATGATGATAAACATATACCAAAGGATCAGAGTCATAATGAAAAGTTGTTCTATCTAAAAAATGTAAATGAAACTTCGAGAATAAAATTGTAACAAAGCAACTGTTAACTTAAATGCAAATATAAAACTCTGATAAACATGATTATTAAGCAGAGGTCATTGAATAAAGAGAACATTATGCCACGGCTATTATTGCAAAGGTCATCTTCACAAAAGCATATTTTATTGTTAGTTGTTGCCACGAAGTTTTGTACAATTTCATCAGTATAACACCGCTCGGACATCTTTCGCTCATATGGCCGTTTATCAATCCACATATTATTCCAACAATTACGATAAATATACTGGTTACCTGGAAATGAATTTAAATGCTACCAACTCCCAATGGTACAATGAATTGTCATCACAACATATCATGACAGGAAATGGAAGAAAAGTATTAAACAATCAATGACAATATGTAAAAGAAATCACAAAAGAAGTCCTAAAATTTTACTGAATGATTTTTACATCATAAAAAACATCATTAAAAAACCTTAAAAAAATTTGTATTTATAAAAAATAAATTGGCAATAAATTTAATGAAAGCATCAAATTGTTTTAATGTCGAAAATTCTAAAATTCGATTTAAAAAAGGGAAAAAATATAACCTTTACGGGAAAAAATATAACCTTTACGGTGTCCTTTCAATTTAACACATGTGCTTGGTTCCATAACCGTATTTGGGCAGAATACCAAATCCGCTTGATAACTGTTCGGAATATTTGAAATATATGATTCGGCACATTTTGTTACATGTTTTGGTATTAATATACCAGCCTGATTAAAGTGAATTTTATCGTCGACAACAAATTTTCTTAATTTGTAATAAAAAATGAATAAAGCTTTAGACTTAGCAGAGCCAATGCATATATAATGAACTGAACCTATAAGTACTACTGTAGCTTAATAGAAGAGGATTTCTTAAAGTATTTATTTAAAAAAAGAAAGGGAGATAATCCTATTTATGAATTATAACTAAAATTCTACAAACTGCTACTAACCTTTTCAAGTGTTTGATATAGATCAGCAATGGAATTGCCATCGTTGGATTGTTGTGAATTAGAATCATTTGTAAAGGATATACAAGCATAACAGGCAACTTGACCTTTTAGACGACTTTTGAATACCTTTGGTGATGGCATATGCACTACGTGGCCAGAAGTTATTGAACATACTATAAGTTTTCGATGAATTCAAATCTTAGAAAAGATTTTCTTTTTTTATTTATCTACAAATAGAACTGCTAATTATGTATTGCAGCATGGAATGGTAAAATATTTGCAAATTTGCAAATGCATTTCTCCCAAAGAATTTTGCGTGATTTTGTTAGTTTAATATGAACAAGAGAGATTATACAATATATATTTTATTTTAAGAAAAAAAAACTATTGTTGTTTCATTAGAATATTGAAAATAATAATAGTAGCTTTTATTTTTGGTGACTAAAATTAATTACTCTTAACAATTAGAATAAAATTGAAATACATTACCAATGAAGAAAAGTGCGAATATAATCGCAACGTTGACAGAATTAAAAGAGCTTAAAATCGACATTGATTGAATTGATCGAAGCAGAAATGAGTCATTATTTCTTTCAAATAATTATTCATTTATGAATTAGAATGTTATAGCAAAATGGTATGCCATAAAATTATTTATTAAATTGAGAGAATGCGAAGAAATATGAGAGAGTAAGTCTTTCAGTAAATCTCTTGATTAGAAATGGCCAGCATTGGCCATTACATTTAATTAAAACACATATATATATATATATTTCTTGGCAGTTTAATCGCAACAACTTATTTGATCAATTCTGAAATATCTTTAAAAACATGCTTAATTCCATTTTAACCGTATTATTTCAGGTGTATAGCAAATTAAATTAGAAATTACGCACAATTAAAATCGAAAACGGATGACATTTGAGAATGAAATGGATGAATCAATAATAAAAAATTAAATTTTTGGAATTTTCCACATTATCAAAAATCAATAATCGATATTAATTAATTCTGATAAGTATTAATGAAATGGTATTGAATATAATTAATTTTTATTTAATAAAAAAATATTTTTAGAATAAGGAAAAATGATTCGTAAATTTTATCTATTTTGTTTTGCAGTAATAGTAATTTTTGAAACTTATCATATACATCATCAAGTTGACGATAGTCAAACTACTGATAAGGATGTCGTGTAACATTTCTGATGATTGAACTATTGATAAGGATAGATCCATGTTGATAATATCTAATCACTATATTATTCTAATTTTTTATTAAATAATAAATTTAAATAGCAAACATTTTTTTAATAGATGATCATGAGGAAGCTTTTCTCTTGAGACATTAAATACGAATTTTTAATTCATTGCTAAAGTTGTTTATTTTTTGGATGGATAAGTTAAATGAAAGCTTATTTTATCACACATCATTGAAGTTTTTATGTGAAACTTCATGACTATGATTAAAAATATAGTAATTATCCATTTTCCATTCTTTTATATTTTAATCAATCATTTTGAATGGAACAAAAAAACAGTAAACTAATCAGTATTTTGGGAAGTGTATCATTTCTGAATAAAATTTATTACACTGTCATTGATGGATGATAGCAGTAAATTGTAAGTGATCAATTCGAAATCGGTGATAGCTGGAGAAATTTTAATACGGGAAAATGAAAAGATTCAAAATTTATTCATGAATTCAACCGCTAAAAAATTAATTTTAGCTATCATGTATAAGGCCTTCTATGATATTTTTATTCATATAATAAATAGTGGTGATAATTATGCGGAAATATAAGGAGATTGTGAAGATTATAAGTAATTTCTCTTTCTCTCTTAATTTTTACCAAGAAATAGAATTTCTTTTTTTTAAATTAATAGAAGAATTTATTTTTAACATTATATAGGAATAGATTTAATTTTAAAATACAATGATTCTGTATCATATTTGAATTTAATACTTGAAATATTCATTAATTGCTTATATATTCAAAAAAGAAAAACGATAATTTTAAAACTGTCTTTGATAATTTCATAAAAGTCATAAAGATCGACGAACTCATAAAAATGCCATTTATTTGGAAAGTGCAGTTTCTCAGAGGAATTACTAAATTTAGTTGCAGTATTCTTTTTCATATTGTTAATTTGAAAGTAGAAGTTTAGATGTTGATAATGATAATGATAATATCACAAACATTATGGTAGCAGCGAATAACTTCAAATCATAAAATTTCAAGCAATTATTAAGAAACAAACAAGTTTACTATGAGCTTGAAAAAAATTCTGAAATTTGAATTCCCTAAAATGACTACTTTAATAGAAAAAGGATTGCTTTTTTTCTTCGATTCTTACCGCAAGTTACTACAACTATTTTGCGCTACCGTTTACTTTCAACACATTGTTATTTCTAACAGATCCTATCTGTAATTTCATTTGAAGATCTAAAACAAAGAAATTTCATGTATCGTCTATGATTAATCTGTTCTCTACTATCTATCAATATCTATTCGTTAATTTCAATAAAAAACTTTCCAAATAAAACTTTAATTTGATCAATTAGTCATAACAAATAAATAATATAAATTTTGATTAATAAAATTTTCGTATATTTATTGATGTGGGAATTGAATTAAATTAAATTAAATATGTGAAAAATGAAATAGCTAAAGCTGAAGAAATCAAATGATCACAAGAAATGACAAAGGAAAGTAATAGTGGGATGAATGAAGCTGTTTTAATGGATAATAAAGATCGATGAATGAAATAAGTGAATGAAAGCATAAGCAACAACATATTCTTTAGCCGCTTTCTAGTTATCTCTCAAAATTAACTTATAAATAATGCAATCCTTAGAGAATAGAATGAAATCATCATTGTGTCCTTCGCAAAAGCCATCCATAGATCATTCAACTGAATTCTGCGAAAAGCATCACTAAAATTCGTTTCAATTTTGAAGTCGAACTTTTACATTTCCTTTATTTTCTTACTTTAATGTTCTCGAAGTAAAATGCAGTAAATATTTCAAGTTTAGGTTAAATTGAATTTGTTTACAGCTGCGAAAAGCATTTTAAAATTGATGAACAAAATTAATAATGATTTATTTTTTTCGAGCTTAACTATAATATAATGAAAAACTCTTCTTTATTTTTCTCTAAATTTTTGAAATTGTCAACTTATACAAGAAAATACATTCTCACTGTTAATTACACCCAAATTTCTTTAAAATTCTAATAATTTTTTTAAAAAAACTAATGGTTATTGTTAATGGTATTTTTTTTGATATATATATTATCCAAAAATTAAGCATAAATCAAATTCATACAGAATTAAATTTTATCGTCGAGAAATATTTGATACATAAAGAAGCAATTGAAAATACAGTAGCATATATATCTAATGTAACGGAAAGTATTTAAATTAAATTCATTGATAAAATACAAGGCATAACTCTCATTTGTAGCATTTTGTTGTCAACCCGCAATGACAATGCTAAATAATTTAAAATATTGAATGCTATTTGGCTTTTTATTCTCTCCACTCGTCCTCGATTATTTTAGAATAATAATTTATAAACATGAGAAAAATGCAAACTGATGGAAGTTATCGATAAAATATGTGTAACATTGGTTTTTCAGATGATATGTCATCCGACTGAAAGATCAGAAATGTGCGGTTTTTCAGCTACTTGAGGTTAGGATCGAAAAAAGTTACCAGATTACAAAAAAGTTTTTGTGTTTCAGAAAGGCGTGCTCTAATTTTTAGGGCAAAAAATTGATGATAGTTTATTTTACAGAGATTCATGAAACGTATTATTTCCTGGCATATCACATCATTACAATTTTCAAAGTTTCAATAGAAAATACAACTGATGATACTATGAGTTACTTTTTACAATGATGTTGAATGGAAAGATGTGAGAAAATTAATTTGAGATTGTAAAGGAAAGAACTGTAGACCGGTTATGAAGGTGATCGCGTATTGCAAGTTACAAAGTTTCCGGACATCATTACAATTTTTAAAAAAATGAAATACACTATGGTACAGCATGCTGTGCATCTTTTTCTAGCTGATTTTTTTGTAATTTCAGATATATAAGATTCATGAATTTAATTTTTTCAAGCTTTTACTCTCCACAGATTTCTCAAATACCTGAAACGTCTAATTCTGTTACTGAATTACAGTACTATATCTATTTAGGTACCAAATAAAAGAATATCATACGAAATGAAGATACATCCTCCATTATTCGTAATATTCATTGCCATCGTTTGGACAGCTGCAAACGAAGAGAATTCTCCGATTGTAAGGTAAAAGTCATTTGTGATTCGTGAAGTTTAATTAAAAAACAACTTTTGAAATTTATGAAAAATTTATGGAAATTTTTAAGATTTAATATTGGAAGTTTGTTGGTTATATTAAAGCTGTGAGGAAAAAAATTTTAATATTTACTAATAATTTCCACCTTTTGTCTTTAATATTTACTAATCATAAAGCAAAAGAATTCAGATTGGAAAGATATGAATACAATTCCCCGTCGGGATCGAAAATATCGCCAAAAACTGTTCTAAATGACAACATTTTATTGTGCTGTTTCCCATTAATAAGAAGAAATCCAATCCAGCAAACGACTATATCCTGTAAAACTACTTGCAATCTTATTCGTCCAACAGGAGCTCTTTATGTAAGGGACATCTCTGATTCATCGTCTTCATTACCGATTCGGAATAGACCACAATTCAGTTCTTCCAGTAGTAGCAGTTCTACATTTATTTCAGGCTCTGCTTGTACGAATTTCTTTTATTAGTATAGTAGAACTTTAATAAACGGTAAAGAAATTTAGACATGACAGAAGATAAACATTTCATTTAATTTTGGACGGATACAATAAAAATGAAACGAATGAAGTGGCAAAAAAGAGAATACATAAGAATTCATAGCTAAATAAGAAATAGAAAATTGTTTAAATTCAATTAAACTATATTTAAACAATGATAAACTTAAGATGGTTATGGTCATTTGACTGGTAGCGTCCCAAGTGGTGATACCAATGGAAAATTACGAAGTTTTAAGCTACGAATACCAATCCCTGCAATTAAGCCACATTATACCGCTTCACGGGGTACAGTACAGGAAATACTCATTCCGAAGAGATTTCGACAGTACAAAAGAATTTGTGGCAATATAACTCACAACAGGGTATACACGAAGTATGAACCACCAACAGTCATCAGCAATGGTTATTCTAGCATCTACCGTTACCCAGGTAATTAATTTATTTCTTCCTCTTTTTTAACCATTGTCAATTTGCCGCGCTAATCTAAGTATTTTTAAATTTATTCATAAATATTTTTGTTAGCACTTAGTAAATAGAAAATACAAGAGCGAATTTCGAAAATATTAATATGAAACGATTATTGCATGGAATTATTTGCTAGCTTTAATAGGTCACTAATTTTTGCTTTGTTATTCCTCTCCTCCTTATGCCGATCCCTCCTTCATCTTAATCAGTTCCGTAATAAGATTATCAAGGTAAACTGTTAATTATCACTTGTTCATTATTATTTAAAACTATAATTTCCCTACAGTTAACTTGCATTTCGAATATCAAAAGATATTAATTTTATTTGAAGAATCGAAATCCACTTTTCAATCAATAGATTAACGGAGACTAATAAACGTTGAGTGAAACTTAAAACTAATCCATCTCCACGATAAATATGAAATTTAAGAAGGAAGATCCCCATCAAGAAGCAGTTTTCCATCATATATAGAAATTCCATCTATCAATTCAGGTAATGCATATATGACAAAAGCAAGAGGAAAATCAGTCACCAGTTACCTCAGACCGACGTTTGTTTCCACTTTAATCTTGAAAGAATTTTCCATATTCTATCTAATACGCTTATTGATAAAATAAAAATGGAATAAACTTACAATTCGAAGACGCAAAAAATTTATAAAAAAATGTTTTCACTCTGCTGCTTAATATGCAACATACATTATAATGAGCAGAGAATTTTCATTTTATTTAAATAGTAATAATGAACTAAATGAGTAAGAGATGGAACAGAAAGGTCAAAGGGTCAAGAAGTTTTCATAAGAATTAATAAATTGAAGTTTGTTTATTAAAAAAAAAGGGAAATTAGCGATATGTAATTTAATTAATTAATTTTTTCTCACAAAAGCATTGATTAAGATGAAGATAGATTTTTTTCCCTAATTTCACGAAAGTTTTTTTCTTTTTCTCGTTACAATCTGTCATTTCTTATGATCCTTACTGATTGCATTTGTTGAAGAAATGTAACAATAGAGAATAAACGAACTCATACGCTGGACACTACACAGGCTAATTATCCTAACTCAAATCGACAAATAGAAGTGGTCGCGAGCAAACTGGCCCATGAAATACCTAATGGTCAGCGTTTGCTTCTTTAAAATAATGTTAAGAATAAAGTTGTAAACGCTTTTAATAAATCATCTAATAAAAGGATGATCTAATATAGACATTAGTATTACAAATAGATAGCAAGTTTTAGTCAAGATGTGAAAATTCGACAAAAATAGAAGTGGAAGTTTAACATGAAATCAACTTAATAAAAAAATAATTGGAAGGGATGAAACACTTTAAACTGACTAAGCTAAATGTTTCACAGTTCAGATGAATGTTTTTCTATAGTGTTTTTCAGATCGGAAACGAAAATTGAGACAATAAAATGTAATATGGAAGATTTCATCCTTCAAACGAGAAGACATTTTCTGCTTGGCGAATTTGAAGCGTAGTAAAATGGATAAAATTTAAATTTAATTGCAAATTTTGAACAAGTTGACAAATTTTCATCTGTTCTGCAATATCATTTTCCATTTCCTATGATTTTATCATCATAGCTGTTCTCATATGTATCTAGCAAATATTGTGCTTCTAACTATCCCTTTTATTCTTCTGTCAGTACAAAATTCAGGTCAAAATATTGTGAATTGCATCGCAACACTTTGTAAAGCTCTATTGCCAATGAATAACTAATCAGATTTTTACTGAAGTTTCATCATCAATCCACTGATAAGACTCTGCCAATACATACTGTTAAAACAATTAACAGGCCTTCAATCTCTACAAGTTGGATTACAAAGCTTGGAATCTGTTAAGATAAAGGAAATGTAACGTCAACTTATCAACTGGAAATAAAATGTAATGTACCAAATCTTTAACATGATAATAAGTAATCATTTTTATCAGAAATATGAGGAGATTTTCGCACTCGCAGATTTTTTTCTTTTTAAATTAACAAAAATGGATAATTAAATCATTAATAGATGGCTTTTTCATTTGTTTGTGTATGTCCAGATTGGACTAATGATAATCACCGTTATGTATGGCACAATATAAACAAATTATGCATACTTTCAATTTTTCTTTTAACTTGTTTCTTAACAACAAACATTTGATAGCTCAATAAAACACTTCAAATTTCATAATTTAATGAATTCTTTTAAAACGATGCGCGAAATCTCCAGAGAAGTAAGGAAGTATAAGACATCTTGAGAAAAGTTTTTCGAAAGATGAAGAAAAAAAGAGAATTAGCGCAATGTCACTTTCATTAATTAAACTTGGACTACCAAAACTATCAGTTTCAGATCAGACGGTTGCACTACACCCACCTTCTTCGCAAGTCAACTTGTCACCATAATTTATATATATAGCTTAACTAATTTTAGATACAAGGTTTTCACATCTACAGCAATTTTTGCCCCACACATTCAGTAACAACAACCTCAAATAGAATTAAGAAATTTCGATCCTCCTCAATTTCATAGTTCGAATCATGCAACAATATGCAACATTTCTCATTTTATGAAATTTTGTGAATCGAGGAGGTGGACGCTGTACGATAGGGTGTTGGGAAGTGCAGGAGTGAGAGTTAGTGGTGTTGATCAGGAGTGAAGTAGCTTGGGATGATGATGAAAATGATGAGGGAAAAGACTTGGTATGATAATGAAAACAGGAAGAGCTGTAAGAAGGGAGAGATAGTAAGAGTGTATGAGATGATGGGTTATAAAGACATTACTCAAGTTAAATCGGCTCTTCAAAATTGCTCGAGTTTGGGTTACTAAACTTAGATATGATATGTATGTATGTTTTGGTATTCAGTTAATAAAGATAGAGCCAAGTTGTTGCTTCTGTTAATAAAGGAGATATTTAGTTAATAAAGGTAGAACTAAGTTGTTTTGTGCAATAAACTGAAACTGATGTGTAGCATTGAAGTTTAAAGCTAAGGAATTTTGTTGCACATAAAATGAATCAGATACGAAGTTTTGAGAAAAAAATGCCACTTTACACATACAATGATTTCAGTTTTTCATCCAACTTTGTTAGACAAAATGAGATTTGCAAAAATTGATCAAATCTCCATTTCTTTTCCTTTTATTGAAAAATATGGTATGTCGTGTAATGACTGGCTAAGTGTCTTTTGAAAAGCATAGGTGGAGGAGTTGTGAGAAGGAAGGGTTCGAACTTCGCAGAGTAAAAGTGTTGGAGAATGGTATTGGAGAATGGTCCTTGCGAACATTTATGAAAATCTTTTTAGCTTAATGGAGAAGGCGATCTTCGTGTTAGAATTCGAACAGATGAAAGCGGCTTACAAAAAAATGAAAGAGGATGGGTAAGGTGTTTTTTTAAACCAAGAACTTTGATTTCTATTTGTAAGCGTCCGTGTATTGCATTTCTCTGTCGTACGTACTGTCACAAAGCGGAAGTTTTTACATTTTTATCGTTGGTCTCTATGTCAACTCTCGATGATATGTTAAAGAGCTTTTTAATAGAGTTTCAAAGCAGCTATAGATATACTTTCTGCCATTAAGAACATTCAGTCAATAGTTGAACTGCCTTGAATATAAGTTCTGTAGCAAGAGACCGTTGATAGATGCTTGGGAAAATAAACATATATAGCAAAGAAATTCCAGAAGCGCTGCTGAAGTGATTAGATTAACAATCGAGAATGCCATACACCGGAAAGCATTGGAAATTGCACAGTGTGTAAATAGTGAGCAAGAAAGTTTTCTGAGGCAGCTACTAGCAGTTACATTCCAAGCTGCTAAAGAAGGTATAATTCAGTTCTCGTTTCTGCGCAAATTCCCTATCATTTTATTTGGAAATTTAGGACTTCCTAGTTTGCATCCAAGATCTTTTAAGCCCAACTTTAAGTTGCAGATTTTTGTGCAAAAGGAACAACAGTTGCTGTGGTACAAGATGTATTCGATGTCAGTTCAGTCAAACGTTGTGAAGAACTTTTCGTCATTGTCGAAGACAATCTGCCGCAGTGGAAAATGGTGCACAGTTTTCGTTGTTCTGTCATAAAATTTTTGACTAAACGATTTTATAATGCGTTTTACGTGTTGCATAACTCAATTTTCAGGGCATTTTTTACGAGCCTTGCAAAAATATGATATTACGGATGTGTAATGACTTGCTGAAGCGTCTTTCACGGACGGTGGATACGAGCTTTTGTGGGCGGATTTTAGTTCTGTTAGCACATGCGTTACCGTTGTGTGAAAAATCCGGCTTAAATCTTGTTAGCCATTTTAACCTGGACAATGTTACGAAATATGATATGGTAAATGTTAGGTCTTTTGTTTGTTTAGTGATACATTTTGCTTCATTTTACTAAATTATTAATAGTGTAGTAGTGATAAAATTGTTCCAAGTAATTAAGCATTTCCATTGTTGAATAATTCATTACTTTATTTTTCGAGATATGTTTTTATCTTTAGACCGATTCCTGTATTGCTGTTAATTCAAATTTAATGGAGGATAATGAAGTTATGGAAGTGGGCGAAATAAGTGAACGGTATTTATTCTGGTCGCAAATTTCTAATTAATGTTTTCAAATTTTTGCTTTTTACAATATTGTTTTGACTAATGTTTGGTATTCAAATTTTTTGATGAAGACAAAAATAATACTGCGTCTTCTTTCACCAACGGTGGAATCATGCACCGAGATTGTAAGTCTTTATAGTACTTTTCAGTTCATTGGTTCCAACTTGTTAACACGCATAATTTTCATATTTCCATCTTGCAATTTTTAAGGGAAATCCCAGTGGATTATACACTTTACGCAAAATTTTGGCAGTTACAGTCTTTCTTCTCTTCCCCAGCAACATGTTTTGAGAAATCAAAGTGGAGGACATTCCAACAGGTGTCGTATAACAGTTTCTTTTGCGTAATTCTTTTTGTGTAAAAAATGGGATAGCTTTTTGCAAAAAGTTCATAGCAACCAATCAATTATTTTCATAGAACACAACTGAGGTGCTCAATATATTTTCAAGTCATAAACTGGAGTCCTCTGCAACCCTTGAAGGCTCAAAAAGAGAGCGCTTGAAACAGGTTTCTTTTTTTGTTTTTTTTTATCCTGAGTTTGTTGAGTATGGACAAAGTATTTTGTGCCGATAGGATTAATTTATTTCTTCTTAAAATTTATTTCAAATCTTTTGCTTACACAAAAGAGTTCTTATTCTCAGGAAAATTCAATTGAGGAGATTGCTTCGATTCCATCGACGTCGAAAACTGATGGAGATGAAGACATTTATTTTGCGAAATATTTGACTAATCAGAAGGTAATTACCAGTTCCAAGAATTCATTAATATTTTATTATAAGCGTTGCGCTTTTAAAATTGTTTGTTATAATTTCATTTGAACTAGAAATTACAGTTTCATTTTATAGTTTTAGTTTTATTTGAAATTATAGTTTCATTTGAACTACATTTTTTTCAGCTATTGCAGTTACAGTTGAATGATTCTCAGTTTCGACGTTATTTCCTCGTGCAATGTCTAATTCTATATCAATATTTAGTATCTGATATCAAATTCAAAGAGTAACCTTTTGGTCGTCTTGGATTCGTAATTACTTTTTGAATCTATTCCCAATAGTTTTAATTTTCCACATATTGCTTGTTGTAAGTGGATAATTTTTATTCATCTTTTTGTTTTTCAAGCAAATCTTTTACTCTGAATGACGAACAATTACGATTTATTATTGAATCCACTGAAAGCTGCTTTCGATTACTACGTGAGACGCATCCGAAAGGGCTGCATTTTGCTGATTCTATGAAAGTATGTTTTCACTGTTTTAAGATTCAGAAGATCCGTTATGAAGAAAGGGAAAATTACTGCTTAAATATATTTAGGTAATTCTTCATCGTGAAAAGGAATGGTCTGAGTGGAAGAACAAAGGTTGTCTCGATTATACTCAGCTGGCAGACAAAGAAAAACCAAGCGTTTTTAAAAAGTGAGATAATACGACTGCATTCAATTAACTGGTGTGAAACACATTGAACCTTATTGAAACCATATTGCAGACGTTTCTTTGCAAAAGTTGTAATAATATATTACATTATAACTGAGACATCTTCAAAATCAAAAAAAAAATAAATTGAAATAGTTCTTTCTGTTCTGATTATTATCGAGTTTATTAATATGCAGAGCAACAAAGAGATTTTTCGTATGTAGGACAACAAAGTGAAGAAATTTTTCATATTATGTCATTTGTAGGCGTCCAAGAAACAGGTATGATCCCTCAAAACTTGATCTCGGCAATCCAGAACTGACAAAGCTGTGGAATATCAATCCGGACATGTTGTCGGCTTGCGAAGACTCAAAAAGGTAAAATCTGACTAGAAAGCTTCTAGAGTAAGGTGTAATCTATTCGGTAGCATTTTTTTAGGTGTTGCAGCATTCCATTTATTAGCGACTGTGCTTGTGTGGGAAGTGCAACCTAATCTAATAATATCTTTTCATAGAATAGAGTGATTTCAATCATATAAACTGTTCAGTGGCATCACTTCGAATAGCGAGAGTGTGCAACAAGGCTTCTGGTATGATAAGGGTAAAGGTCATATATTCTTCTTTTACATAAGCGATACTATAATTTTTAATATGAGTGACCGAATGCAGAACTTGATTATTTCAGAAATTTTATACCGAAGTTGGTTACATTTCTTGAAGATCCTCTCGATGAACTGGATCCGGAACAAATGGTTGAAGAGCAATGCAGGTATGCGATGTTTTACGCTCTTTGACCTTTTAATTTTGGGTAATATTGGGATGAATATAAGAAATATTGTTGATATCCAATAACTGTAAATTCAGTAGTGTTAAAACTTCACTCTTTTTCAGAAGAAAAAAGTATAATGTTTTATTGAAATTACACTGAAAAATACCAAAATCATAGAAATAAGCAAGAAAATCTGACATATTTATTGCTATTGTTATAGATGTAATGCTTAATTTCTGTTTTAAAAAAATTTCAGATCGGTGAACAATGAATCGTTTCAGTGGAGAGCATCGCGGCTTCTGATGTCTCAAAGCACATCGTATTTTCAAGTATCTTCTCTTCATGAACATTTCAGTACTATGAATTGAAATCATTGATTTTAATTTGTGCATCATTTTAGACACCATCAAAGAGGAATGAAGTAACAGCAAATTTGGCACCATTTTTGGAAGAAGTGATCAGACACACTGCAGTTAATTTCCCGGTCAGTTGCTTTAATTTTGTTTTTATATAGATTGATAGTTACTCAATCAAAATAATTGGCACAAAAAATTATGTCCAAGATTTTGTTCATTCTTCATCTGTTGGGGTCAGAATTATGCAAAGTTAAAAGCGCCTGTGTGTAAACAGATTCTGAGGATTTAGGGAATTTCATAATAACGTGATTGAAAAAAACTAATATTTCAAACTATTTGGCATTTCAGGAGTTGAAAGATCGCATTCCAGGTTTTACAAATGACAAAAAAAGTGTCAAAAGAAGCGTGAGTAATGGTAGTAACTGTGCTTCATCAGCTCTTCACAATGGGTTCCTTTATTTCTTTTTCTTATCTGCTGAATTGTTTTCCATCAGTGGTAGTCCCTTTCCTTCTATTACTTTGACATACAGATACAGATTTGAATCAAAGCTAACAGCGAATAGTGTCTTCGTGAAGATTATTATTTTTTAAATAACGTTTTGGATCTATGTAGAAAAAATTTTTAGAGCCACAAATGATCTTATTTTTTATCACGATCTTATATCATAAATTGTAACTATTATGTAATGAAGCATCCTTAACGAATGACTGGTTTCTAATCTTTCAGAAAGGAACATATTGAACCTTCTGCTGCTTTAACTGATTCACATATCGAACAGCTTGCACCATTACTAGCAAATAGCTGGTCGACATTAGCGGATGTAATGAATATCAGCAAAGAAAGGAACGACGCAAAAGAAGAGGTGTAAACACAGTGATATTTGATATTGATATTACTTTGGTTCATACATTTGACTCTATATTTATTTAGCGAAATTCCATAAGATTGCTTAAACATGTCGCAACTGTTCTTCTTGTTTCAGCCGATGAAAGTAGCACAAAGAATATTAACAGCCTGGAGACAGAAAGAGGGAAAAGCAGCAACGGTTAAAAGGATTAGTAGTGTTTTACTGATGGCTGAGTTATTCAGCGAACAAGTTGGACAAGTCTTTAGAGGGGTTGGTCTTTTATCTTCTATTCATTAATGCTTTTAACTTTTTGTGAAGTATTTTGAGCTGTGTGTGAGGGTGTTCATGTTTCAGAATACACCAAAAAGGATCTCGGCCTGAGGAGCTTGTTTACTCAGCACGGTGTTCATCATAACAGTTGCTGTTCTGATCTCGGAACTGAAACCTTTTATTATTTATTGTAAAATTATATTTTTTCCTGTCTTCAATACATATTGGGTGAAGTTAGAGAGCTCTGAACTCTATGAACTTTGATGACTTATTTTTCGCAGACCCCGGCACTCTCGCAAGTAATATTTCTGTAATTTGATTAATTATATGATTGTTGTCTTTTTGGTGATCCAAATAAAATGTTATTTGAGGAAAAAATAAAATATAATTTGATGAGGATTGCTTATACAATTACTTCATTCTCATTTTTCCCATTCCTGTTGTTTTCCTTATCTTTTAATCATGCCACTATGCTCGATTTTTTGTATATATGTTGTTATATTTTGGTTTATGAAATGAATAGAAAGAATCAGTTTTTATTACTGGCATTATGGTAGCACTTAACGTGTCATTACACAAAGCGTATTTTTAGCGATTTTTGAGATTTAGAATGGAAATTTTGTGAATTAGTAGCGGAAATTTCTAATAGAAGGTTTCAAGCAATAAAAGTCCTGTGCGCTATATTTACGGTATGAACTGGCATATTTGTGAGATTTTTCAACTTTATAAAAATATAACTATTTTCACATTTCCTTCAGCTGGAGATTAATAATCATAATTTTTTGAATTTGTGTATTAGTAATTGCTGATAGGAAATGTATGTAGCCCAATGGTTCAGGATAGAAAGGCTGAGAGGCAAAATGACTTTTTGTTCCTTGGCTGAAGACTTGTCGCTGTTTTAATCGGGGATTGTTGGAATTTTAGTAATGCCTGCAAGTAGGATCCGATGACGAAGTTTCGTGATGGAATTCGAATTTCGCTCAATATCGCGTAAGTATTTGTACAATTCTGTCTTTTCTGTGAACTTCTCGAATAAGTACTTTGTCGGGGAAAGGATTTTCTGATTTGCAAATTAATTTTTAAATATTATAGGTTGGTTTCGGATTTCTTTTGCCCAAATGCAGGTGGTGTGGAGACGCATATATATTTTCTAGCAAAATGTTTGCTGCAGTTGGGGCATAAAGTAATTGTAATAACTCATGCCTATGGCAAGCGGCGTGGTATTCGATACCTTTCGAATGGACTTAAAGTAATCAGTATTGCATTTTGGTTGATGGATTTTATCTGTTGGATTCAGCATCCTTTAGTTGTTATTTGTTACTTTTTTAGGTCTATTACTTACCGTTTATTGTCATATACAATGGCAGTTGTCTCCCCTCAATCGTTGGTTCGTTGTACTGGTTTCGAAGAATATATTTAGAAGAACATATACAGATAGTACATGGCCATTCTGTGAGTGGAAATAATTCATGTTTTTAAATGTATGGATTTTACAGGGATTTCAAGATACCTTCAGAGATTTAAGTGTGCAATATTTATGTATTTGTTTTCTCTTTACAGACTTTCTCAACAATGGCACACGAAGCGATGATTCATGCCTGGTGCTTGGGTTTGCGCACAACATTCACCGACCACTCCCTTTTTGGCTTCGCTGATGCATCCGCAATTCTCATGAATAAATTGGTATTGCAATATTCACTTGCCAACGTTAATAGAGTTATTTGTGTCTCATATACAAGGTGAGTTTTCACTCTAACCTTCATCTGGACGGCGATTTTTTCACGATATATAAAGCATCGAGTGTATAATTTTTTTATATTATTACATATCTTATTACGACTGAGAGGAGGCTTATTCACCTTCACATCGGCTTTAGCATAGTCTTCACCCTGTTGAATATTTTAATATTTGTTATTTCAGCAAAGAAAATACAGTGTTGCGAAGTGGTGTCCTTGCAAGTAAAGTTGCAGTTATTCCAAATGCTATTGATACAGACTTGTTTGTGCCTGATCCATTTTTATTTCGGAACAGTCCAACAACGGTTATTATTCTTTCTAGACTCGTATATCGTAAGGTAAAGTTCATTTTTATAAATTAATTAGCAAGTGTTTTTTTGTGATAAAGCTGTAGAAATTTTTTTCTTCGATGTGCAGGACTAATTGGCCTGGGATTTCAATTTCTTTTCGTTTTCATTTTTCAAATCGCAAGAAATGATCTTTGAGTCCAGAGAAATTGAAATATTTCGTGATTTTAACGTTTTCTGATTTGAAGTTTTAAATTACAGGGAGCCGATATCTTAATAAGAATTATACCTCGTGTTTGTTCACTTCATAGTTCGGTACGATTTATTGTTGTGGGTGATGGACCGAAACGGATTGAAGTAGAAGAAATGCGCGAAAAATGCTGCTTGCAGGATCGAGTAATCATGCTAGGCACACTTCCTCACGACCAGGTTTTTATGGATTGAGCTGTTTTATTTCACCAGAACTCAAGGAAATTCATCTAGAGTTTGTTTTTTACCTTGTCTAACATGCTAAAGAGTAACGGAGGTCCCGTCATTATTAAAATTGGACTCACATTCCATTAATTTTGTTATTCGGTCCTCCTATATGCAAGTCTTAGTGGTACGATCCTTGGTGAGGTGAAATCAGTACAGTGCTTACTTTTCACATTTTAAAATAATTACAGGTGCGCGATGTTCTTGTACAGGGGCAGATATTTTTGAACACTTCGCTTACAGAGGCTTTTTGTATGAGCATTGTTGAAGCTGCTTCTTGTGGGTAAAGGATTTTTTTATTGCTGCTCCCCCTTGCTCCCCTATTATATTTTATTTTTGCGTCCTTTTACTGGTGCATAATTTATGTCGTTCATATTTTTCAGTCTCCATGTAGTTTCTACACGAGTTGGTGGAATTCCGGAAATCCTGCCGGAGGACTTTATCACGCTAGTGGAACCTGAACCAGACAGTAAGTTGATGAATTATAAACAGAAGTCTTATATATGTGTAAAAGTTTAATTTTTAGCTCCGTCAATTCAATAGTTTGTTTGAAATGTAGATTTGATTGACGCTTTGCTGAAAGTGATTCGATTGCGAGAAAATGGGCAGTTAATCTTACCGAAAAAGAAGCACGATTTGATTTGTCGCATGTATCGTTGGCCTGACATTGCTAAACGAACTGAAAAAGTCTATCTCTCTGCGCTGCAATGTCCGCAATTGTCTTGGTTTGAGGGACTTTTAAGGTACTATTCACAAGTTTTAAATTAGCAATAAGTGCACTAAATTCTGTCGTGTTAGTGAAATTTGAGATTATTTCACTAGAAGCCTAAATTTCAGTTATTGTACATGTGGAATTGGACTTGGTATATTGTATGTTTGGGCAGCTCTATTAAATATGATCTTCATTATAATTCTCAATTACTTTGACCCAATTCCGGTAACTTTTTTTGAAATGACAATAATTTTAGTTTCTTGGACATTGGTTTTGCAAACCAGATTTTTTAAAAAAAAAGCACACATAAAGCTTTTGAGAGGATTTTCAAATTTTTTTCTTTGTGATATGTGATATTTTGCAGTCTACGAATAATCAGGAAGCAAAAAACAAATCGCCTCATTCAGTAAAGGATGGTCGTACTGAACGTCTGCTTGGCTCCCATTCTACAAATAATATTTGAAATAAATACTAGTTTGTGCATTCCTTTATATCATGCATTTATCATTTTCTTCATATCATGCATTTATGGCTTCACCAATCTTTATTTTTTTTACTTTGTAGTCTTTTGGTTTTCATATTGGCAGCTCATTAAACATTTGTAGATTTTTGTGCTAACTTCATTTCACGTATGTACGAGGCTGTGAATGCTCAAACAGTTTGTGTTTTAATCGGTTCGGAGTAAAATTCAAAAATTTCACAACATTATTTAGACGTTCTTTCATAATTTTTTAGCATAGAAAGCGAGAGTGCCAGCTGTGCCGGTACCATCACTATCAAAATCAAATATGGTTAGATTTGAGATGTTGTCATAATTCATTTCTCCTCCGTTTCGATTTAGGATTCATATAAAAAAATTTTTATACATATAGAGACTGACAGATTATAAAATATAAAAGATTGAACGTTTATAAGTTATTAGAAAGTTGCACTAAAAAATATAAAAAATATTACGATTTACTTTCCGTATGGGAACCGTACATGTGTGATTTGTTTAAAACTCCTCTGTAGCTGTGCCTCACCTTCACGCGGATTTAATAATATGATGACAAGACCCCAATTTTTGAGGTCTAATTTGAGATGGAATTGTAAGCGTTATAGCAGTACGACCAGCACTTATTGTAGAATTGATAAGGGTCAGAACTATAACTATGTACTTAAAATGGATTTCGATGCGTAATCCCCATTACGTTATCTTAACCGATCGCATTGTTTTAACATTCGACCGTTCTACCAAATTTTAATGTGTCTTCAAACTGACTATAGAAGCTATGGGTTTATATTACAAATGGATTGTGTATAGTTATCACATTTAATATTACATGTGAGATATTAGTAACTGATAGCGGATATAAACTTGTTCATATTATGAATAAGTCCATTGCAAGGAATCGTCATGAAGTTTATTAATAATTATTCTCCTATTCCCTCATTTCCTAATAAGCTCGTTTGTTGTTTATTAGCGTTTCACCGTTGTTTTACATACTGGCAATCAAAATGCTAATGCATATTTCTGTCTTTGATTGCAATATTTTCTGTTCTCTATGCAACCAACTCTTACAAATATTTTGAATTTTTAACATAGGCAGGAAGGGTTAATTCATTTTCAATTGTTTCTTCTGCCGTTATCAGTTACAGAATATACTGTTGAATTTTTGAGTCAGTTTCAGTGTTTCCTTTCCAGACATTTGTTGCTCACTTACGAGGAACTAATGATTGTCGTAATAAATTAATAACTTAAATAACAGTGCTGCATAAAAAAAATTAGTTTGTACTCCTAGTCTATATTTCAAAACGAGTTACTTAACGACTTTACTCCGGCTATTTAATTAGATTAATTTTGGACCATTATTTCTTTCTCAATCAAAAGAAAAGTAATATACAACATTTGACATAAATTACCAACTTAAAACATTGAACGTAGGTTGTCTTTGTATTTTGTTGACTTCAAGATCAATATGAAAGAGGAAGAGGTTCGAACAAAGCACCTCAATTTTAATTATTAAATTGGCGGTATATGCCTTGGAAGAGGGGTAACAGTGGGGCCGGTATATCATTTTAAGCTTGAATATAACTGGTGACATCTTACGGCTTTTGAAAGATTGGGAAATTTCTAAAACTAGTCATCTTTTAACTTCTGCGGTATTGTTAAATTCGATTGTTTAGATAACTTTCCATTACGTTTTGACATACGCTTATAACGTTACATGTATCATATCCGTATTCCTGTTCGATTTCTATCCTGCAAATATAAGCACGAATTTACCAGGATTTCAGGAAAGTGACTATAGTGGTCAGCACAGATGAGTGATGCCTTAAGGGCGTCTATTGCTGCAGCTAATACTGCTGCTTACCGATTTCACTGTGACAATAGCGAAAGTAATGCCTCTTTATTGGATACTCAATTAGGGGTGAACTTTATATTTTGTTGAAGCCACATCATAACTGACAAATTCAGTAAAAGAAAGTCCAAATAATAATTGTATTTTGTTATTCAATTAATTGTTTTCACTCATCACTCACAAGTAATTTACTCATGAATTTTGTATATATAATAATTTGGACAGAGTAATTACTTTTTTATTATTCCTCAATAACAGATAAATAATTAGATTTATGCTTTGTTAAAAGATCGGTAGAGATAAAAGAATCTTTAATCTTATTTTTATATCTTAGCTCTGTAGTTGTATATTCATTTCTACGTATTTATCTTTTTGATACTCACTCTTGTTTGCGTTAAAGGTTAAAAGCTCTTGTTTACATTGAAGGCTATCTCGAAGTTTTTCTCTTTAAGAGAATGGTTTCAGAAATTGGTACAGTTAACGAATATTTTGGATTCATCGGCCAGATTGAGCATATATGATCATCAATTATGTGAGCTACTTCGTCATTGTTCGATACTATTGAATGATATTTCTACATCGGCGATTACTCGTTCTCGTTTGCATCTTTTTCTTTTCAACTTAGGTTGGTTGTGTGTTTCCAGTTTCTTGATTTTGAAATTAAAAATTTCACCTCTTTTCTTTGCTCAACACTTATTGTACTTACATTATTGTTGTTTGATGAAGAATGGTGTAGTTTACAGTACCAAGACGTATTTCATATCTGATTGCATATGTATGTTCTAAATCATTGCAAAGTTTGACATCTAAATTATTGGAGAGGATCCACATTATAGAAATGTAATAAGAAAATTAATGAAATCAGGATAGATAGTGGCGTTATGAGGTCATTTTTACACATACCAATCAAAAAATGCATTTTAGCTTTTCACAATATCTCAATCAGAAAGTATCTAGCAGGAGAAGATTTACAAATTTGTGGAGCAGTTTTTGAATGCCTAAAATTGTCGCTGCGAGACCAGCTTGGCCCGCAGAATCTTATCGACGTATTGCGATTACTTCAGGTATGTTACGTATTAGAAGGTTTAATAATTCATCCTCGATTTTGTTACTAATACTTTATTGTCTGTTTAGGTACTCACTTATGAACGAAATGTAGTGCTTGGAATATGGACGAATGATCTTATTTCATTTCTTTTAAGCGAAGTGTTAGTTTTAGCTTTGTAACATTATCGCTGTGTATCCAGTTTTGACCTGATTACTTTTTAATACAGCTTATTTCATTGGATTATCTGTATAGTTCATATATAATTTTATATCCTATTCCTTTTTCTGTGGATAAAGGATAAAGCGCATTAAAGGATTTTGCAACTAAAATGGTCTTTGAAATATTTTTCATTTAACTAAATTTCCTGTAGGACTTGCGATGATGAGCCGGAATGGCTCCCTTATTGCGTAGCCATACTGTGTAACCTTGCTGCTCGATCAAAGTCCGCTTGTTTAAGAATACGCAAATCGGTAAGTTCATTTTTTTTTGCTTTGCAATAAAATAGTTATAGACCCTATATTTTCACTGGAAAACGATACACTATTTTCACTGTTTGGATTATGGACAATGAATTGATAACATTGTTACAGTCACTCTTACATGAAAACACTTATAGTCATCCTATAAGGCCTTCACTCACAAACTGCTGAAACTGTTAGCTCATGATTCGCGAACTGTGGTTATTTCATCTCTTGTACTTGTCGGTTTTCTGGAGGAAAAACTTCGTGACACGGTAACTTTAATAAGCAATATTTTTGAAGGTTAATTCAAATATCATATATAATCTTTATTGGTACATAAAAAGCTTTAATCATGTCTTATGCCTTCTCTGATATTTGAGAAAAAACTCTATGAGGTCAGTAATATGGAGTTACTTTACTTAAATAGTTTTAACACTTTTTTAAAATAGAAAAAACAGCTCGTGACAGAAACAGCAGAATATAATTTTGAGTGATAAATAGAAATTGAATGTACATTTTGCATTCATGCAAAAGCAGTAGGTGGAAAAATTGTTCATTCCAGGTATTTTGTGCTCGAAACATTCCTCAAACATTCCGGTGTGTTTTCAACGTTCTAATTCTGGGAGATCATTTGATGACTCGACATATCGCTGTTGATTTATTGAAGCGTTTGATCATTAGCGATTCTTCTGGTGTAGGTATTTGAAATTTCAATTAATGTCATCCTTTTATCCTTTTATCCTTTTAGCATTGTACCTTAACATTCCTTCATTTTTGCCAGCAGGAAAAATGTTTTGATGGAATATATATATGTATAACTACTTTGATCGAATATATGTATAACTATTTCAAATTTGCAGTACTACCTCATCCTTACCCGCATTATTTTATTTTATTTTTGAATAATAAATGAATGAAAACAGGCTAAACTGATGAAAACACAGGCTAAACTTTACAGGTATCATCGTTTCCAACAATTACATCTACAGGCAAAGATCTCACTTCCTACTCATATTTCGAAAACACAATTCAACTTGTTGCAGGTCTTTTTGTTCAGATTGATCCTCGCACTGAAGAATCGCTTAAAGTAGGTCTTTTTAAAATAGATTATTTTACCCATAATTTAAAATCTGATATTTTTGTTTCTTCTACAGTATTTTTGAGAATTTATTGTGTGAAAGTGTTTGTAGATATACGATCTATTCTTGTTATTTTGTTCGATAGCACAGTTACGGTCAGCAATCACCCAAGCTGTTTTGCGGTGCTCACCACGCGAAGAGAGACTGACAACGCCAATTCTAGCTATTTGCAACACATCTGGTCTATCCTTCGATGAAGCCATTCAGCCTGAAATCCCCTTGAAGGCTATGCGTCTTCTCATTTATTTACTTCAGGTAAAAAAAATGCATTAAAGCCTCCCACAATTTGATATTTTCCATTTGGAATTGATCAGTTACTTAGACAAAAATTTGATAGAGAATTATGACTGAGTCGTTAAGCCTTGTCATATATTTCAGTTAATTTTTCCAAGCGCTTAAAGTTTCACCTTATTGATAAATGAAGTAGAGATTGTGAGGCTCATCTATAAAAAGGGGGCCATGTCGTTGCAAAATTTGAAAATTTGACATATATCAGCTTTTCTGATTCTTATATTATTGAGTGCTCATTATTTATATCGATTAATTTCAAAAAATTTTATTCAGGAACTGATCGAAAACAACGGCCATGTACAAAATGTTTTGCCTATTGAACATATTTTACGACTTATCGAAAATAATACAAAAACAGCGATTGAAACAGTTAGCAGTCTTGTAAAATTTCAATGCCAAAGAATAACCGAAGGGTTGCGACTGGTTGAAAGTAATCATTTACGACTTGCTGTGCCATAAGTTATATTTTATTAGATGTTGAGCTCACATCTCTTATGTGAATAATTTTGTTTTATTCTTTTTCAGTGGTTTTAAATGATGATGAAATAAAAACTGATTTATTAGAAGTTATCACTGCCCCGCTTTGCTCTCACATCATCGAATCACAAATGATCTCAAATACTGTTGTTACCTACGTAGGACAACTTGCAATGCAACGTGGATCTTTGCCTGAATGGTGGTGAGTTTTTCATTTTTTGCTCCATATATTCGAATTTGCGATCAATTCCATCACTTATTAACAAGGTAGGCTCCTAGTACATTTTTCATATTTCTCGAATTCGTAAGACATATTACTATTTCATAATTTATTCTATTGTGTTTGCAGTATGAGAGGGATATTTCGCATATTGTTTAAGCAAAAGGTTAATTTTTTTGATCTGCTGGAGTAAACCATTTCATTGCTCTGCACTATCGTAATATTATTTTGGAATAAAAGGTCATTTTGTTCCTCGATTTTTGTATAATGATTTTTTTCATATTCTTCATTACTTCAATGCATGGATCATGTAAAAACTTACAGCGTTGATGGCGTGGTAGTTGTTTTGAAACTGTTGAGAGTTTTGGTTTTACTGAAGGATTATTCAAAGTCGCACGAAGATTTATATTGGAAAGTACTAAAGGTTATCGATTAATTAATTTGATAATTAAGTACTTTATGTTTTGGGATTTTTTTATCGTCTGTATTTCAGGACGATCGCCTAGTGCCGTTCATCGCATATGCAGTCACTAATGGTGGTACCGACTTGACGCATGAAGCTTTACTTCTTTATATACATTGTGCACAAAGTCACACCTTTCCCACAAAATGGTATACTTTCAGTATTGATTTTCTGCTCAACTTTTCTTAATTAACTCTTTTGAGGTTGGGAGATTTGATAGCAAGCTGTATCAGAGAAAAGACAATAGCATCTAATATAGCAAGGAACTGCTTATCTCGGTAAGCTTTTTCATTTCTTATTTTCTTTTGTCAGATGATTAGTAAATGCATCAACTGCTATATGAAATCATAAAAGTATGCTTGTTGCTCATCTTTATATAATATCGTTCTAGCGGGTCCTCAGAAGTTATTTTAAATAGTGATGCTGATGATTTCTCGATGGATGGTAGGAAAACACCCAGTGATCGTTTGGCACGAAAAAATGAAACTGCAAGGCAAGTCGATGATGTATCAGATAAGTTACGGCAAGGCAATGATGTGAGTTTAAAATTAATCATGTCCTTAGCTTTATCATATTTCAAGCAGTTCATTTGAAGCGGTACAATGCGAGTTTAATTCTCTATCTCCATTTATGCTATTATATTAAGTAGAAATAAATAGTGCCTAACAGTAAATAGGTTTTCCAGTTCAAAGATCCTCGAATATCTCAGTTATTAAGTATGTATGAGAAGGAAATACAAACTATGAAAGTACGTTTAAATTTTTTGCGGCTTTATTGGTTTTTATTTTATCAAAACCTCCTCTCCCATTTTTTTTAGCTCGTATTTTGTTCTAATCATAATATCATTTCGATTTCGAGCTTAATTCGGCTTAAAATAATTCGCAGTGTACATTTAAGAAATTTTAAATGTTTAGACAGAAAAAAGCGATAAAGCTTTCCGAATAGTTGTTACAGTTCGTATAGTTCGGCTTTCGCCTTTTTCATTTCGTTGCTGCGCTGCGCATTGTACATTTTAGATTCGAGAAAGAGAATTGGAGGGAATGATGGTGAAAATGGAAGATTCATTGCGTCTTAACAAACATTTTCAAAATCTGCATAACAAGGAAGGCAGTGAGAACGAGGTGATTGATTTAGACTTTTTTTAAATCTTAATCAGAGAGATTTTGGTTTTTAACTTTTTTACAGTTCTTACAGATAATAAGCCTTCGGAAATCGGTTGCTGATCGCGAAAAAAAAATCGAGGATCTGAACGCGCTTCTAACTTCTCTTTACTCAGAGAAAAAAGAAATAGAAGAAACATCTGAAGCTTATAAGAAAATAGTGGAGGATAAGAAAATGGAAGTGGCTATGCTCAGTGACAAGTAATCTAATCTCATGTATAATTTAAGTAGTCCACATATTGTTCTTACGTTCTTAATATCAAAGACTTGGAAACGGTTGTAGTGATCGCATTAATTAACACTATGATTTCAGAACATTTTAAATTTTCGCCAAATTTATAAGAACGATAGATTGAATTCGATCACTACAGTAATAGACCAAAAAACCACTCTGTTTTGACGTATTCACTGATCTCTCCATTTTTCCTGGGACTTTTATCACTTTCAGACTTGAAAAAATAACGCAAGAAAAGAATATTTTACAAGAAGAAAATAAAAGTGAAAGAGAGTTTGCTACACTAACGAAGAGCCATTACGACGAGTTGAAAAAAAAATTTGCCCAGTAAGCTCTATTTGAGTAAATTTGTAAATTTGACGTAAAAATTTGTTTTTCGTAAATTTGACTTCTGAGACCGAGAATTTTTGTTTGACTAGACCGAATTAAGTTTAGAAAAAAAAAGAGGGAAAAGTGAAATAATGTGCGATGGATAGTACTCTCTTGAATGTTTTTTTAGCTGTTATATTTCCAGAGCATCAAATGCGTTGATTGATAAAGACAAAGAATGTATTCAACTCACCAATGAATTTAAAGTCTTGGAACTAAATTTGGTAGCTAAGAAAGCAGAAAACAGTGGTTTATATTTCTCACTTTGAAAAATATCGAACATTCCACACACTTCACAGAAATTCATTTAACGAATAACAACAGCATTTACATTATTGCCATTTAGATATAGTTTGATTCTTTCTTTTAAATGAATTGTTAGAGCTCTTTATTGCAACAACGCTTAGTGAAGGTGCGTCCCTGGAGAAGTTTATATTGTTAGGTAGTGGTTTCACTAAAATACTTCATATTTTAATTCGAAAACAATTTATTCTATTGTTGACAGTCTGATTCAGACTTAAAACTTCAATATACCTCATTCTGCAGAGATGGCGGATAATTTGAAGCACGCGCAGAGAAAACTGGAGGAAATAACGAATGCTAAAGAATTTGAAGTGAAATGTTTGCAGGATTTGGTAATCATCTTTATAATTTCTTGTCCGAATTATCCCTTTTACAGTAATACCATTTTGGATCATCTAAATCTGTGCGCCTGATTTCAAGATAAAGAAGTTTCCGTTCGCATATGCAAATGTTTATTCCCTAAGTAAGTTCCTAAAAATCCTCGAAATCTGTTGTAGCTGGATAAAAAAGGTGAAGAAGTTGAACGTCTCAACAAGGAGTTACAGAAGGTTTTGAAGTTCAAAAACCAAATGATGCAGATGATGAACGAGATTTGAATTCGGCGCGTTTAAAACGCTTGGTTCTCTAAGTTCTTTCTGTTTATATTGTAGGGACAGAGATTTCTCAATTTTTTACACTAGTTCCTTTCCTAATTTCTTACATAATTGAAACTTTCGTTTTTAGTTCGTCATGCTTTAGGAAACATTTATTGAGTGGTGTGATGCAAGGTGACCCACTTCCATTTTTTACATTTATTTGAGTGGTGTGACAGCAAGGTGACCTACTTCCTACCCTTGATAGATCATTTAAATAAGTCATTGAGAAGCACACATAACAATGATAACGTATTATGCAACCTGAAATGCGGCGAACCAGGAAATGAAATGGATCTATGAGTCAACTTAACATTCGTTAATTAAAAAAGTCCAGAAAGAGGAAAGAAGATTGATTTTGCGGTGATAACTGAGCTTTAAATATCCATTTTATTGTTGTTAGTTATTCATCATATGGAAAATATTTCAAAAATTTCAATGCTACACTTGCGGCAGATAGTTTTCCAGATGCAAACTGGTTTGAATGTATAGTTCGCACACTTGTACAATTCAAAATGCATTTTCTATAAAAATATATATTCAGCATTCAAGCATTGTATACTGCTTTTTCGTTCGGGAACTTTATAGAAATTTGGAAAATTTAAAGAAAATTATACAGAATGGACTTTCGCTGTGGGGAAAGAAGACGCTCCTTTCATTCATTGAGATACTGAAAATTTATAACTATATTTCAATTGAATTGCAGAGACCTTACGTGGAGAATAGTGAATTGAAAAATGTAGAGAATATTACTTGAGGAATCACTCCAAAAGGGAAATTAAATCAAAAAATAATGTTGTTGCCAGGTTCAGTCAAGTTCCGAACATTAAGTTAATACAATTAATAATTGATTTGGTCGCTCAAAATCTTTTTATCACCTGCTTCATGCCGCTTGTGGATTTCGAAATTTTATTCCTGCATAAACGGCTGCTGTACCAAGCTCTTCCTCAATACGAAGTATTTGATTGTATTTCGCAAGACGCTCCGATCGGCACGGTGCTCCAGTCTTTATCTGCAGTTTTCATATTTATTTGCACCACTTTTGCTTACAAAACATAAGAGAAAAAAAACTTGGATATGCAACATTAACCTTTTTGGGAAGCTAACTGCGGCTGTAAGAAGACTAACTACAGCTAAAATTATCGTTAATTGCACCTCAACCAAAATGCGATGTTTTCTAGTTTATAACTGCTTTTCACTGAATGATTACTAAGCCTCGTCTGAAAGATCGTAATCATGCGAAAAAGAAAAGAGAAAGGTTTATGCAAACCTGTCCTGTAGCAAGGCCAACAACGAGATCGGCGATGAATGTGTCCTCAGTTTCACCTGATCGATGCGAAACCATCACACCCCAACCATTCTTACGTGCCAGATTTGCTGCTTCAATAGACTCGGTTACGGTTCCAATTTGATTCACCTGTATTTTAAGAAAAAATGCAGAACTGTTTGAGAACTACGTTTTACGTGGAACTCTACCACTAAAATAAATTGTTGAAACAAACCTTCAACAATAAGCAATTACAAGCCTTCTTGGCCGCAGCTATCTCAATTCGTTTGGGGTTAGTCACAGTCAAATCATCACCAACGATCTGGATGTTCACGGCGGATAGTCCTTTTGTCCAACTAAGCCAATCATCTTGTTCGAACCAATCCTCGATTGATACAATGGGGTAATCCTTAATGGTTCAAACATCACGAGTGGATGTTGAAAACTTTGAGTGCATTTTGACAAAGATTTTCTTGTACTCTAGCGGATAATTAGGTAAGAAAAAGGCAAGACGAAGAAACAGCAGCAGCTTGATAAATGATTTGCAAAAAATGCAACACGAAGAAATAGAAGTACCTTGATAAATGATTTGTATAACTCTAACATTTCGTCTCCTGTTTTCCATTTACCTTGATCCGACTTTGGATTTTTGAAATCCAAATCGTACTTTTTAGCTGATTCCTACAATTTCTTTACAATAAACCTTTGCAAAAATAGTTTTATTCCCCCAGTTCGCACAGTTCACACAGTACAATATGAATGAATGTGCTAAATTCGACTTTTCCGTGTGTATTCCAGAGCACTGAGTTTTTTTATCTCCTATGTCAAGATAAGAAGAAGAAGAAGAAAGATACAAATAACATAGGTCAAAATTCGCTTTATTTAATAAATGAAAGAAGCTATTATCAAGAAACCGTAAACTACTTCGAGATATACACATACTTTGTAATATTCTGAAGCTGCGCAATCCATTGCAATAAGAACTTTTCCTTCAAACCCCGCAGCAGCAATTGCTGATTTTAGTAAATCAAGACCCTCCTTGTTGTCCTGAATGTTTGGAGCAAAGCCACCTTCGTCGCCCACTGCAGTAGCATCCAACCCATATCGTTTTTTGATTTCTGCCTGTCTTATTTATCACTATACTAACAGGGAAGCTGACTTATTTGTAACAGACAGAAAAAAAAAGAAAAACAAATAACTGGAAAAAACACGTAAAGAAGGATGTAGAAAAAGAAAGAGCATACCTTCAGATGGTGATAAACCTCAGAACCCATGCGCATTGCTTCAGTGAAAGAAGAAGCCCCAACAGGCATAATCATGAATTCCTGATATTATGGCATTAAGTAATAGGAATAGTGTTTTCTTGAATATCTTTCGAAAATGAACTGCATATTTAGAATTAGTCTAAAAAGAAACAACAAGCCTAACCTGCATGGCAAGTTTATTGCCCGCATGTGAACCACCATTGATAACATTCATAGCAGGTACCGGTAGAACAACTTCTTTTACGCCTGCCAGGTTGGCAATATATTTGTACAGTGGCATACATTTATGAGCAGCACCAGCTTTGCATACTGCTAACGAAACTCCCAAAAGTGCGTTAGCACCAAATTTTGCTAAAATAATTTTCTATCTTATCAAAAGTTAATTTGCAATTTCAGTTTGATGCTTATAGCTTAGTTTTGCTTGCAGTTTTGATCTGCTTTTCATTACTGATCTTTACTTTTTCCTTGGTGGCAGTCCTTCTCACAAATAACGTTTACAAGTTTTGACGAAGAGGATAACTTATCCGTTCATGATTTTTGCTTTTGTTATAAAATATTACAGTGCCATTCATTTGCTGAAAAGATAGAAGTACATACATTTATTCTCGGTTCCATCAAGCTGGAGAAGGAAATTGTCGATTTCCTTCTGTTGGGTAGGATCCATCTTCTTCAAATTATTAGGTTAGTTATGCCGAATATATTATGTAATTAGAATCACTTAGTTTTTCAAAAAAAGTGCAACACAATTCAGACAGAAAAAATAAGAAAAACCAAGTGAATTTACCTTAGAAATCAATGCTGGAGCAATTTGTTCGTTGACATTTTTGACCGCCTTTAGGACTCCTTTCCCATGATGAACACCCTTATCTTTATCGCGAAGTTCGAGTGCCTCATGCACACCTGTTGATGCACCACTTGGCACCGCTGCTCGAAACATACCTAGAAATTGAGAAGAATCGTTTGAAAATTAAAACTGATAGAGTAATCAATGTAATAAATTGATCTGAATGAGAAGTTGGCTAACCTTTCTCTGTGGTCAAGTCAACTTCTACAGTTGGATTGCCCCGAGAATCATAGATATAACGGGCGTGAATAGCAGTAATCGGCATTATTAATCGTCACTTATTTCTGTAAAACTATCATACAATTGGAAGAGACCTTAAAATTTAATTTAAGTAATTCAGTAAGTTTAGTTTAAATTTCCTTGGGTCAGTGATAAATACGATAAATTTGAGTCCAATTTCTTCCTCTATCCCATGATTGATATTGGATTCTGTAGACAATTGGAGAAGTGAAGTGCAGGTGACATGAAACATCAACCCATTCAAGTCAAAATCTCATTCATTCTTTCCAGCCTACTAAGAAATGCCTGATAACCGAGGAGCAAAGAACTAAACCGCACATATGATGCAATATCTAATGAATGAAATCTTCACTCCTATTCACAGTTAATATGTAGACAAGTTTATTGACATATAGCAAATTTGAATATCGATTGAATAAAAAGTTTCCAAAAGATACTCATAAAAGCATATAAAGATAAGGAGAAAGTGCAAAAGATACTCTTTTTTTTTTATTTGTTAAAAATTAAATTGTTAGAGTTAAACAAAATATAAGCCTCATTAGATGGATTTGATCGATTTATCCGAGGGCAAAGTGATCAGTAAACGATGGGTTATCGATGAGAAATTGGGTGAAGGTTCATGCGCTACCGTATACAAAGTACACGATATGAACGATACTCGAGTAAAAGCTGCCCTCAAAGTCGGTCAACTAAATCATCCATTCATAGCCTAGTAACAAAAAATCATTCTTATCCCATTGATACCCTAGTAGGGAACAGCAATGCGCCTATTCTATTACTTTGTCTTTACTGTTCGATATAAAGTATGATCACAAGCCTGTAAAAATTTTTTATATATACATATACCTAGTACTTCATATTACTAATTTTGAAATTATCCCCCTTGGCACACAATATATCATTGTTATCTTTCATAAATAAATAAGCCAATAAGAAAACTTCACTTCATTAGGTGCTAATAAAATTTTTTTATCAAATATTAAGATCTCAATTCTAGATAATATCACTAAAAGTTAAGTTCATATTATTAATAAATATCACTTATAAAACATCAAAGAATCACAAGGGTTACTTTTCATCATCATTATCATAGTATCATTAATTATGACAATCTCTTTTGATTCAAATTTTATTACAAAAGATCAGTGTCTAATGAGAAAATCGGATCAGTGCACGATGCAAGTTAAATTGCCATTTCACTAGCAACGCTGCCCGACATGCATTTTCAAAACTATTTTTCCATGTAAAAAATACAAGCAATAGTGCTCACATTTACCTTATTTAACATTTTCTAATGAACAAATGATTTTTGTTTAACTGTTGTGTAATTCTAACTAAAGACCATGAA